TAATCCACCAACAAATAATTGCTTAGCTTTTATAAATTCTATTACATTTTTTTCTCCAACAATATGATATTTCAGAATCAAAATATACTTAATAGAAGGTTTCAAATATGGTACTTTTGCAAAACCAAATAACTAGAATTTAGTACTTGATATTTCCAAGATCACTCAAAATATCAAATCCAAAAAATCATTGTTCAAACTTCATTATCCCTTGATGTTATTACATGATTCAAACTTTATTACCTCCCCAGTATGGAGTCAAAGAGGGAAGAGAGCTAAGATGAGCGATGTAGTTTTTGATGTTTGATCTCACCCACCTTGTGACATGGGTGATTTGGTGAAGTATCAAGTGATATTTTGAAATATCACATGATACTTTGAGCAAATATTATGGGTGAAATATCATCCCAAAAGACCATGTTTTAGACCCCCTAATGTAAATAACTTTTGATTTACAAATAATCTAGCTATCAATTGATGAAGGTACAAAAAACATATATCTATTTTAGCAATTCTTCTATAAAAAACATGCAAGAATTTTGCAATTCTATTACAAAAAAGAAAATGCATCAGATCCTTCTATTTATAAAAATAACCTACATAGCAATTGGAATTCAAGATAAACAAGTTTTTTGTACTTAGATTATTAAGATCATTAAAAACATGCAAGAATACATGTTAAATAGACTAAAAAGAATATTATTTAAGGCAATAAGATGAGTTGTTAAGAGAAATTACTTAACAATTTGGAAACTTTTAAAATGTTATTATTTTATTTATTTGTAGTTATTAGAAAGACTATTGACATTATATTTTTTAAATATCATTTTTTCATAAGATGACCTTTACATAAGAAAATTTTGGGCTATAGTAATAAAAAGTATACAACCATTTTTTTTTTTTTTTTTTATTGAGATTAATAAGACATTTTTTTTTCATGTATTTTTAAAAGGTAGTATATCTATCTATCTATCTATCTATCTATCTATATATATATATATATATAGATATAGTATTTTACTGTTTATCTTTTTTTATTACCTTATTAATTTGTAGTTGAATGTGGTTTGATTGTTAAGCAAGAAACTATTATATAACTTTATGGAGGTTTTGATCACCAGCCATTTAGTTTTTAAAATGTGTGTTATTTAATATTCATTAAAAATCAACCATCAGAGATTAAATCTACACGTTCTCAATGCAACATAAATTCTCATATTTTGGTCCCTTATTTATGTTTTTTGTTTAAAAAATAAACAATTTCATGTGTTCTGAACAAAAAAGAATTAGTAACACGTGTGGAATATATATATATATATATATATATACACACACACACATGAATATATTTATAATTTTACATCACGGTAATTTTTAAAAAATCTGTCGTAATAAAACCAATATACAATTCTTTTTTTCTTTTTTTTTTCTCTTCTTTTTTTTGGATTTATTTCACAGTATAGAGAACCTACCAAAATTGTATTTTCTTGTAAGACTACAATAATCAAAATCTGACATGACATAGTTGAATTGTTGTAGCAAATACAAGAAAGAAAATAATAGATTTTCATCATATCTACAGCAATTCAACAACCTCTCAAGAATCTGAGCAATACTTTTGCATGTACAGAATCACATACACCACTGCCTTTGCATCTTCACAAGGACAGTGCCCATAAAACCCCCACTATTTTAAGGAGCTGTGTGAAAACATGAGGGTGTGAAAAAAACAAAGCATGTGCAATGATTTGTAGAATACAAAAGTACTCTGTGGAGTTTGCAATGAAATTGTAATTTTATTCATCTTTCAAAGCACTGGAAATGATGAAATTGTGCATCAACAAAATGCAAACTAAGTGACAAAAAAAAAATAAGGATTCCAAAGTGGGACAAAGGAGTTCATTTGAAAAGGAAAAGGAAGGGAGAAACAGCCACGAGAGCAGAGACAAAAGCAAGCTGGGAATTGAGTGCCGCTGATATGGCTTCATAAAGGATCCTACATTGATGGCGTCTGTAGAGTTCGAATGTTGGGGAACACAAACTCGGGAACTGATGGTTCTGCGATGTTCTACGTATCATCTGGCTCAGGCACTCCAGCTCACGCTGCAAAAGCCCATTTGGCATGTAGGATATCAATTCAGTTTTTCAAGTCAATGTGTCCTCTTTTCTATTTTCTACTTTATTTTTTGTTTATTCTGTGTTATTATCGCTGGGGATGGAATTTGAAATGTCGCGTGTTATGATGATACGGCAACACTCATTGATTGAAAAGATTTAAAATAACCAATTTTCAAGCAAATTATTGTTTCTTAATTTAACTTTTTCTGGTTCTTTAAACCAAAAAAAAAAAAAAAAAAAAAAAAAAAAAAACCCAATATTGTGGTCGGTAAACCAGTGATAAGCTTCATAGTTGCATATCTAGTAAAATACTCAATTCTAGTTAAAAAAAAATGTCTATATATATGTGTGTGTGTGTGTGTGTGTGTTTAATTTATTGCCATGAATGAAAATAGAACATGGTGCAAATGAAAGTCTTGTGTAGAATGTTAAAGAGAAGCAACAAAACCAGTCATGATCAGTCATTTGATTCAACTTTTAGTGTTGAAATAACTTCAATAAAGTAACTCACACAACAGCTGCTTCTCAACAATATACATAAATCAATAATTCTGTATACACACATTCATACATACATTATTATTATTATTATTATTATTAGCTGTTTACTGGTTTCTAATGTTCTTGCTCTATTAACTATGTTGGTAAATATTGTAGACCTGATGCTCTTTACATTCTTACTAAAATCTGATTATAAGACCATTGAACTTATTTGTATGTTCATTACAAACAAAAATGCTACAGCCTAGTTTGTTCACATGTATGTATGTCTGCATGCTTTGTGTGAAGTAGTCTCTACATTGAATGAAAAATATGTCTGCGGGATTCCAAACAGAATAAAAAAATAAAAAAATGACTGCAAGTTATTTTAACATAGAATTCAGATATTGGCAACAACCTCATGTCTGAGTCAGCAATTTTATTTTATTTTATTATTGTCTCCATATCTGAGGAAAGAATGAGGCTTATCCACCCACTTCTTAATGTATATCTATTTATAGAATGGGTTTGCATGGTGCACAGGCCCCACTTCTTCCTTGCCATTCCAAAGGAGTGTCTCCCATGCATAACAGTTATCATATTTGAAGTCCATTTAAAAACATACCACTATTTTTTTTAGTATAAAATATAATTTTATTTTACAAATGTCACGAGGTAGTCATTTAAAAAAAAAAAAAAAAAAAAAAAAACTCCTAAAAAGTTAATCTTGCCATATTTTGATAGAATGTTAATAAACTAATTGATTCACAATCCTCTAAACAATGCCACCCAATGGTTGTAAAATCAATTATTCATATAAAAATCACTGATCAATCAAAACACTCTATGTTACATACATATAATTTCATTTTTATTTATTTTTTTGTATTTTTTTTCTGGATTTTTACAAGAAAATCAAGTTAAGTAAATCCTACAACCAAAGCAAGTAGATGTCATCCCTCCATCCCCCTCACACATACACCTACATTATATATGTAATATATATACATATATTTATATCGATATTCATATTTACATAATTTTAAGAAATTGATAAATCGATTCAAGTGATTACTAAATCAACCCACTCATCTCAACCATAATAAAAAAAAAAAAAAAAAAAAAAACGAAAAAAAAAAAAATCCCTGCCAAATCCACATTGGTCGAAAACCAATGAAAAAATGGTTGGATCATGAACCAATGATGTTGGGTGGGTCAATTTAGTAAATGTTCAGATAAATTTAACAATTCCTTATTTTTACTATATTTACATAAATCCAGAAGGAATGAGAATATTCTCCGTGAGAGCAACATTTTTGGAATGTGAAACACCATTGAACTGTACGAGAGTGTCATATAACCACCCCATTCCCACTCCATCACAAACCCTAATCACCGTCTGCGTCTCCGTCCGTCCACATCCGCCCGCGTTCGTCCACGTTCGTCGGACTGACGGACGGCCAGAGGCGTGAGAGCCAAGGAGACGGAGACGGGGACACTGAGCGAGACACGCACAGACGCACGCACTCAAACAGCGGGTTCCTTACAACACCACCACTACCAACCAGCAGCAGCAGTCCTGGTGGCGGCGATGGAGGGCACCGATCGCGCGAGCGCGCTTGTTCAGGCATCATTCCAAAGGAAAGTGCAAGGTCGTCGCCGAACCACAACTGCAATTCGGCAACGGAACCCAACGAAAAAGCCCACCGCTTTTTTCGTTGGTCGCCCAGTTCATTTGCAGTCCCTCAGTGCCGCTGAGCTTTTGTTTGTGTGTGTGAGAGAGAGAAAGTGGCTCTGCGAGAGGGAGGGGTGGGGGAGGGGAAAGTGAAGGGGGTTCTCAATTGATTTGGGGTTCTTTATTGCCACTTTATTTGCTCACCAACCTGCTCTCCCACATACCCGGTTCGTTGATGACAGGGCCTGACACAGTCTCTGCCGCAATTGCCATCGCATTGTGTACTGTGCTGGGAATTGATGGGAGCTGAGGTGATGGATGCTTTCGCAATCCTCCCCGCTGCAGGATCGTCATCAGTTGGGGGAGATCACTGATCTGGCGATGCGAGCTTGAGTTTGTTGCTTGACTTTTTGTGGGGGAGAGCGGGAGGAGTCCTGGTAGGGTGATCAATGTGGAGGTTATGGGTAGTTGCCATAAATAGTGTTGCTGGGGTGTAGTTGGGACGATCAGTGTGTGAGTGGAGAGTGTGATTGTTGTCGTGGCAGCGGATGATTATATCGCTGTTGCCATGCAGCGGAGGTTTCAGTTGTAGTGGACTGCTCTCTGTCTCTCTCTCTCTCTTTGCCTGCCTGCCTCCCTGTGGCTCTGTTGCGGGGGCAGCTGCAGCTTCCTTTCGGGGTTGGGAAATTCGTGTTGAGGGCGAGAGAGGTGTGTGTGACCTGGTGCTCGAATGCAAGCTTGCTGATGGGTGCGTTGGCATGAGGCCTGTCGTTTAGAGGATCGTGCGGCGCTGCTATTACCAGTGTGGTACTTGATGCTTTAATGTACAGAGTGCAAATGTTTGTGTGCTCCTTGTAAAGATTGGAGAGTGGCACTTTGGAACCGAAGCGGTGGAGTGTGAATGAGAGTGGCGGCGTAGAGCCATTCCCTGAATTATCAACATCTTGTTGACAATTTGTTCACACTCCATTTTTGGTGGACTGCTTTGAAGTTACAACCAATCGCAAATATGTTGATGAGCAAGAGGCCCAAGATTGCAGCGCTGGACGGAGACATGAGTGCCATCATCAGCAGCAAAGGGCACATTGGGTATGGCACTACTGTTTCGTCTCCGACGTTCCAGCTAGAGCAGCCGTACACTAACGGTCTCATTGGTGCCGCCTTCCCGGAGAAATGTATGGTCGGGTTTCGCGATGTGAATGCTCAGAGCGAGGATCCTCTGAACTGGGGGAAGGTCGCTGCTGGGCTGGCGGGTAGCCACTTACAGGAGGTGAGGCAAATGGTGACGGCCTTCTTCGAGTGCAGCGTTGTGGTGCTGGAAGGCGCCAGCTTGACCATTGCGCAAGTGGCTGCCATTGCGAGGAGGCCGGAGGTAAAAGTGGTGCTCGACGCTGACACTGCCAAAGAACGGGTGGACGAAAGCTCCGACTGGGTGCTGTCGTGTGCCTTGAAGGGCACTGACACTTACGGCGTCACCACGGGTAATTCGGCCAATCCCTTCCGCTACCTCTTTTTCTACCCCAATGTCTGATGTTCAAGTAATCAACACTAACATGTTAACGAAATTACGGATGTGGTACAGACCCCAATCATGAGAATCCAAATCATGTTGAACCTCAGCTTACCGCATTCCTAATTTTAGATGCGTCACGTTGCTCGCATCGTAATTGTGGCAATTAACTCGGTGGTCGCACTTGGAGACTAAACACTTTTAGTTTCTGGAGGGCAATCTTGAAGATCTCATGCGACACTTTGGTGAACCGCAGGGTCAATGTACACGCCGCTGTGTCGATAGATACGTAGTGCGTTTCGACAACATGAATATTCTCATAACCTGGCAGATTTGTGCCCACGCAATACCGTAGGAGACCAACTGCTAGTCTTCCTTTTCGGCGATGACGTCGATTTATCTTGTTCCTAACTAAACGAACTACTTTTTATTGGTATCACAAACCTTTATTTATAGTCTGTGTGTATGCCACCCTAGTCCAAAAATAGGACGCTCGATGTTCTATCTATACTTTGTCGACTGGTGTAAATCCTGGGATGTTGGATGTTTGACGCAGGGTTTGGAGCGACTTCCCACCGCAGGACAAACCAGGTAGCCGAGCTGCAGTTCGAGCTTATCCGGTTTCTGAACGCCGGAATTGTGGGCAAGGGCGACGGCAACACGCTGCCATCGCCTACCACTCGGGCTGCCATGCTCGTTCGCACCAACACTCTAATGCAGGGTTACTCCGGGATCAGGTGGGAAATTTTGGTGGCGATAAGCAAGCTGCTGAACGCCAATGTGACACCAAAGCTGCCGCTGAGAGGAACGATCACTGCTTCAGGGGACTTGGTACCATTGTCATACATTGCGGGATGTTTGACAGGGCGGCAGAATTCTAGAGCTTACACGGCGGAGGGGAAGGAGGTGACCTCTGAGGAAGCGCTGCGAATCGCTGGGGTGGGAAAGCCATTCCAGTTGGAGCCTAAGGAAGGACTTGCTCTCGTGAACGGGACTGCGGTTGGGTCAGCTCTGGCATCCACTGTTTGCTTCGACGCGAATGTGTTGGTCGTGATGGCTGAGGTTCTGAGCGCGCTCTTCTGCGAGGTGATGCAAGGGAAGCCGGAGTTTGCGGACCCTTTGACGCATAAATTGAAACATCACCCTGGGCAGATGGAGGCCGCGGCGATGATGGAGTGGGTACTGGATGGAAGCTCCTACATGAAAGCCGCCGCAGAAGCACATGCCACAGATCCGTTGAGTAAGCCCAAACAAGACCGCTACGCGTTGCGAACCTCCCCGCAGTGGCTCGGGCCCCACATTGAGACAATCCGAGCTGCGACGCACTCCATTCAGAGGGAAATCAACTCCGTAAACGATAACCCCTTAATTGACGTCTCCAGGGACATGGCGCTACATGGGGGTAATTTCCAAGGCACCCCCATCGGCGTGTCCATGGACAACATGCGCTTGTCGATCGCTGGAATCGGCAAGCTTATGTTCGCACAATTCTCTGAGCTCGTCAATGACTTCTACAACAACGGCTTGCCTTCGAATTTGAGTGGAGGTCCAAACCCCAGTCTGGACTATGGCATGAAAGGAGGCGAGATTGCCATGGCATCCTACACCAGCGAGCTTCAATACCTCGCTAACCCCGTTACCACACACGTCCAGAGCGCCGAGCAGCACAACCAGGACGTGAATTCTCTGGGATTAATCTCTGCCCGCAAAACCGCTGAGGCCATCGAAATCCTGAAGCTTATGACTTCCACCTACTTAGTCGCCCTCTGTCAAGCCATCGACTTGCGCCACCTCGAGGAGACAATGCAAGCAACCGTGAAGACCGTGGTGGCACAAGCTGCGAAGAAGACGCTTTTCCTGGGCACGAATGGTGCTCTTCAAGTGGCCCGTTTCTGTGAGAAGGAACTCTTAAAAGTCGTCGAGCGCCAGCCAGTCTTCACATACGTTGACGACCCGGCGAACACAAAATATCCATTGATGGAGAAGCTTAGACAAGTCCTGGTTGAGTATTCTCTCAAGTATATCACTGAGAAGGACGACGGCTTGTCGATTTTCAACAAGATCCCTGCATTTGAGGAAGAGGTGAAGACTCAATTGCGGCTCGAGGTGGCTGCCGCGCGTGCAAGCTTCGATAATGGCGTATCCCCGATTCCTAACCGAGTGATGGACTGCAGGTCGTATCCTCTCTACCAGTTCGTAAGGTCTGAGCTCGGTACTGCTCTGCTCACTGGACAGAGCTCGCAGTCTCCCGGAACCGATTTCGAGAAGGTTTACGATGCGATTTGCGAGGGAAGGCATGTAGCGCATTTGATGAAGGTCTTGGAAGGCTGGTCATGCGTGCCGGGGTCGTTGTGTGTATAAATTGCCAGAATCTGGGTGACCCAACGAGGGATTTGTGACGGTGAACGTGCACACAAGTCGATGATTCACGACTTGTGTGCTGCAGAGAGTATTTGGATCATGCCATTTTTTCGACCTCGTTTACTACACCGGTGGACAGAAGTTAAGATATTGTTGTGCAGATATGCAGATTAGAAAATTCTGGATATTACCACTAGACGTTCGTGGAGACCTTAGAGAAAGAAAAGCAACCCCATTCTCCAGCCATTCTAGTGGTGGACTATTTACCATCTTTGAGCCGCTTTCTCAACATTGACATATATGTAATTCCAATTTTATAGTTAAAAATCTGATTTCTGATATGTATTGATTGGCCCATTCTTACCCCTCCGTGTTATTTAGTAACAGAGTTAAGCGATCGATTGTAGACATTGGGCTGTTATCAGACCTCGCAACTTTGCTGATCAGAAGCCTGATCCTACAACTGTGAAACTGTCGGCTGTGTAACCTCATTGATTCTTTTCGGGAATATAGTAAGGTCATTTGCAAATGGAGTGAGATGCAATTGTCAAAATACAGTCCCCTTCCTGTGGCTGTATACGTCTGTCTGAGTCCTCTTTTGCTTTTTAGTGTCAGTTTCATTGCACACCACTGTAAATTCATACGACAAGAACGCGGGCTTCCTCTCACACCATACGGAGGCAAACTTGATAGTGGACTTGTCTCTTCAGCACATGTCAGTGTGTCCTCAAGTTGCGATTCAGAAAATCTTCATGCAAAGCAAACAGAAATGGTTGTTATCACCACATACAGCAGCATGTACAAAATTTATGGCTTTGCGGTTAGTGTGGTAGTAGAGGGTTACCGCCATTTGTTACAATGGAGAACATATGCTAGAGCAGTTCGGAAAAATGGAATTTACTCCGGCGCACCGAGGAGCTGCTCCACAGTGCCACACGTTCATGTCGGCGTCGTGCCTGGTGATGGCCTCTAAAGAAATGACAGAAACACAAGCAAGTATCACTAAAGTGTTAGAATTGTGCTGGAAGAATGCTGGAATTATCTGTGAGGAGTTGAGACATCTGTTAACAGGAATTTTAAACCTGTATGCCCATCTAGCAACAGTGAGACGACTGTGTACAAACTGTAAAGCGGTAAGCACGATTTCTCGTGGCAGTAAAGAACAGTGCCACACAGAAATTCAGCTCGCACTTACCAAGAGAAAAAAAGCGAATTGCTCCACACATCTGTGTCCAGGTGGACAAAATACCTCTTAACCGAATAATGTTTTTCTTCTAAAAGTTCATTACCAAAACCAGATATCATGCGGAAACACTGATCAACACCGCCCTACAGAATTTGTCGTAAAAGCCGAGCCATAACCTAATTTCCAGTTGCTAGGCTCTCCAAAATGTGAGCAGATTCAGAAATCTTGCTAGACTATAAGGTGCTGAACTTAAAATTATGATGAAGTTAGAATGCATCTTCATCTTTCAGAACAAGTACAATTGAAGAATAGCTAATCATGGGGTACAAATTACTGTTCAGGAAGTTTGAGGTCTGGGCCAAGACTACATCAATGTTGGGGACATCGTCAACGAGGAAATCGTAAGGGGTGGGCTTGGAAGTGTCTACCAAAGGGTACCACTTTGCCCCTACGCGATCAGGCAACGTGACCATCACTGGAAGATGGCTTGCGTTGAATGCAATATAAAGTTCCCTCTTCTGCTGGTCAACCTGCAATCAAGTCGATCAAATTAGTTGCCTAATCGAGATACACAAAGAATTGGAACATCAAAATTACATAAATAAACATCTAGTCCAAGTAGCCAAACAAGAATAAAGTCGAGCAAGGGCTTCTCAAGACCATAAACAACCACAAAATAGCAGCTTATAATTTTCAGTAATATGCAGTTTCTGAATACCTTAATGCATGAGAGGATTACATGGTTAACATACGAAAGGAGCTGCAGAAAACACAATTTGTACTGAACGACAGCTACAAAATAAATGAATATGAAATTACCAGGGTGAAGGCCACAAATTTGCTGGACTCCGTCCAGTCGGGAGTATTAGGAAATATTCCATGCCACTCAAGCCTATCTCCAGTGAGAAAATCTCCTAATCTTAGGCATTCTGTTCCGCTATAAAAGCAACATCAAAAAATTACTCGACCATCTCTACAAAAAATTGATGTTTAGATAGTTCAGCAAGATATGAAGTCTATTAAGACAAACATCATTTATTCTTACTGATACGCCCAGTCAGATTGTTATGTGATAATACCTTCGAAAGTTCATCATTAGACTTGCGAATCTGTGAAAGCCATTTGGGTCGGCTCTTTTCATGTCCCACCTAAAATAATTGATCTGCAGCAAAACGCAACCACCAAAACAATGAATCCGCGAAGAATAACTCATAAATATTCTAAGTCACACTTCTAAAATCTAATGCATCGAAAACCAACCCAAAAATAGTATATAAATCACAGAACGATATGGTAGATAAGAACTCAAAATGAACAGCAGTATTGTAGATATCAGCAGGTGCACTACGTGGGGTCAAGACACGATACCAAAGAGAAGAGTACTTACAAAATTATCATGACAATATGTATTGTTATTGCCACCTTTTGTATGACCATATTCATCTCCCATGGTAATCATGGGCACTCCCTGCACCATCGTTTGATGACTTAGTTGATTTCAAGGTGCCACAGTACATACGTTGAAAAGGTTTGCTCACTCTTAAAATTGATTTGGTGTTATAGTATAAATCTTAGATTCCGACTTCAGAGAACAAAACAGTGCTAATCGCATTGGAAAATTGTACTGTACTGCCCAACAAGTTAGTGAAGTGCTTGCAGAGAAGTATCCAGGAGAGTATTACTTGTGAAACCATTAGAGCCACAAAGAAATTTCGAAGCTGTCGTTGTCGCAACCTTTGAACAGGAATGCTCACCACCTCCCCTTCCTAGCAAACATGACATTCAAACGCAAATGAAAAGTATGTTATCCACATGCAAAGCATTACATCAGAAGAATCCAAACAAGTAGTTGAAAATACGGAAGCACATCGGTCCAACGACTAATATCCCTTCCACCATTGGCACAAAACAGTCAAGCTAGAAAATACTAAACACATGAAATAAAAACACACGAATGTACCTCTCCACAATTCCAACTATTGTTATGGTTGTCACCGTCGTTATTATCCTCCCCATTTGCTACGTTATGTTTCTGGTTATATGACACAAGATCTGCTAAAGTGAATCCATCGTGAGCTGTTATGAAATTGATGCTGTGCCACGGTTTTCGGCCTCCTTCCTGTATTCATTCAGGGTAGCGACTATTATAGCCTGTTTAAGACGGGCAATATTATGTTGAGCTCATTACATGCTAGACCTGTCAAATTCAACTTGTACATTCAATTCAGTGGTCACTAGTTGCTTTTTCTATTGCAACTTCATACCCGAATATTCTTGCACATGCAAACGGTAGATAGATGGGAAACACATAATTTAGTTAGAGGAGGGTCCGACGTTGTGTGTATTTAATCGACTCCTAACATTCGATATTCAGGCTCAACTGGAATACCATTCAAGTTTAGGGAATGGAAATGGAACCACGCATGTATTTGATGGAATGAAAAATGAATGTTGGTAGTTTTATGAAATAGCTGCGTTGAACAATGACAATCAAGCTATGGACTTGAATACAAACCTGATATAGATGAGGAGACCCACAGAGACACTGAGCAAATATCCCAGCTGTTCCCTCTGTTCCTTTGATAAACAAACGGACCATATCGCGGAACTGCAAAAACGATTTCGTGTTAGTATGGTCATGCAGTCGAAACCAAGGGGTGCCAATTAACTATAAAACAAGCTTGGCATCAACTCATGCATCCATGGGAACGCGCGGGGTGTGTACCTGCCCATTCCACTCAGACCATACTCCCCAGTGCGGAAAGCTTCCTACTTGGTAGAGACCTCCACAGTCCCATGCCTCGGCGATGAGCTGCCATAAGCAAAACAAGCTGAGACATAAAACAACAACAAGAAAAATCCTTTACTAATACCAGGTAAAAACATCAAAACTGATTTCCGATGGAATGAACGAATGCAGAATACTCACTTTCACACCACGAAGAACAGGATCATTACTGATCATGTCAATCAGTGGGGGCTCATTGAGTGGAGTTCCTGTCGTTACGGTGTCGTTGACTAATTCGTCTGATCTTCCGAAGACGTTGACCTTGTCCCACAAACTGAAAGCCCACTACACTTTTCAGGGAAAACATTTAAACACGAAGATGAACATCCGTTCGATACAAGTTACAGACTCGGTGAACATTGACAAAGAAGTAGCTTCTCTTAGCTGTTAACTTTCAGGTACTAAAAGCACCTCACAACGGAAAATAAGAGCTCGTTGACAATCGTAAACATGAGAACATGCAACATTGATGAAGACCGCACAAAACTTGAAGTCAAACCCTACCCGTGCACATACAGTAACAGTTCGAAGATCAAATCCACAATAACTTTTCGTAACATAAAATCTAGTAGATTTTCATTGCTGAATAATGCAGATACTTAACTTGGATCATAGCAGACGCCCAACAAAAAATATCAAAGGAGAAACTCACCTACTAGCGCGTGTCATAATGGAGGCTAAGTCAAAACGGAATCCATCCACATGCATTTCAGTGACCCAGTACCTGTCTTAGCACTTCATCGGTTAGACCTCAGTCAAACCTCGGATGTGATGTTGCGAAACAGAAAAGACAGAAAAGAACACTCCGAAAATTGCAATTATACTTGGCAGGCAACCAGGAGTATATGTTTTCATTAACAATTTACCGTCCGTGTACTGTACAAAAATTCAGATAAGTTTATACTATAATTATCATAATAAAACCTTTGACTTTCTCATGAATTTCTTGTGCAGAAAGTGATTGGGTACAGAATAAGCACCTTAGGCAGTCAATTATAAAACGCCTCACGACGGGATGGTTACAATTGAAAGTGTTTCCACAGCCAGAGTAGTTATAGAACTCCCCCTAACCAGCCAAACGTGATACAACGGCTTCAGCCTCAAGCTGGCATCAGCTTGAAAATGACATAAAAACTAGAGATTCAAAGTGGTACTCTTAATAAAAGCACTGAAGATGAGTGGAGTCACGTGTGACGACAACAAACTATATGTACCATCAGAGAAGAGCCTAAACAAAATTACTTCTGAATAGAAATGGAATGAAAGTCCGGCAGACCATGCAGAAGAAAAAAAACGTGCTTAACTACAAGCTAACATACAAAAATTCCATGAGAAAACTAAGCTTTCCTTCGTGACCTGGACTGTCCATGTATACTATGAGATGGGATAACCGTGCACCTTCGGGGCAATCATATAGTAAACATGGTTATCAAAACCTCTAAATGAGATGGTCGGGCCCATTTCATTGCCTTCGGCGGTGTGGTTGAACACAACATCCATCAGTACCTGATTTGACATTGACAGATGAAGAAGAAGCTGAATATCAAAACCGACCAAAAGAATACTGAGTGGTAACAAACTCGTATTGGTAACGGATTAAAATATTACCCAAACTTATGAACAGTTTGACTCAAGTGATACTATCGATATACAGATGAAGCAAGTAGGTCTTACTTCCATGCCAAGTTTGTGCGCCTCTCTTACTAGTGACTTGAATTCCTTAATAGCTTCTTTGCCACAGTTTTTGTTCCCAGCTGATGCATACCGTATCATCGGTGAAAAGAAATTTATTGTTGAGTAGCCCCAAAAGTTCATCCTGTCAGTAGTACGATCATGCTCGTAAATCAGGATGGTCTTGATACAAAGTACGAATCTAAGGTAACCAAATGCTCAAAGTTTTAGCACTTTTAGCACTTATCGGTATATAATGCATTCTGAATGCAAAGAATACGTTGCCACAGCCATTGACTACAATCATAAGCCTTAAAGTAAACAAACTCGGCTTCACAGTCATACTTATAGTCGCTCATCATGGGATTGTAGGCATGATATTCCAATTCGTTGAATTCGTGGCTCGGCATGAGCTCAATTGCATTGATGCCTAGGGCCTGCAAATCGCAAGATTTTGTCAAGTGTGAAATTTATAGATCGTCAATGTACTGGATCCATACCCAAGAAAACTCAACCCTTCAAATTTAAAGCAGGACATTCAGGACCTCGAAGAGAGGGAATACAAACGTATGAAGGAAGTGATGAACATGATTTCTCGATATAAAATCCAAGCTTGAAATCATACACATGAGGTCGCAACCTACTTGGCTTATGTGAGCTTATAATGCGCCTAGCTCTTCTGCATGACCAAAAGTCGCTCCGGGTTTACTTACTATCATTATGGAGGAATAATTCAGATGAATTTATAACAAAAAAGTGAGAAAATTACCTTGAGATAAGCCAGCTTCTCGATCATACCAATGTAAGTTCCTGGATGTTCCACTTCGCTAGAAGCATGTTTAGTGAAACCACGAACATGCATTTCATATATTACCAAATCCTTTTGGGGTATACGAGGAGGAAAATCACCATCCCAATCAAACTGTAAGCATCAATGCGATAGTGTTTAGCTCAGACATACAAGTCTACGCATGAGGAAAGTAGAGAGGCAGAAGTAAAAGCATAAAGTTGTGACAGATTCATATTTCATTCCGTACAAGCTTATCAAGTTAAAAATTGATATCTTCCAGAATCAATGTGCTTACGACCACCTAGAAAGGATGAAAAAAATCGATAAAAATTCGCATAAAAGCAAAGACAAACATAACCACAAGGACAATAGTCAATGGTATCAAGAGTCCATGAAACAAAAACCTTAAAGGAGAGGCTATTGGAAATCCCTGTCTTTGCTAGCAAATTACATAGAATATTTTCGTCCTTGCTTTCGACTATAATAATTCTGCAAAAAGTTGATACGATTGCATGTTCGCTTCTAATAAGGCTACTTCAAATTCAAACGTGTAGATGAGTACGAGCAATACCTCGTCATGAAGATCTGGGATCATACCAGCCATTTGAGGCCAACAATCGCCACCTTCTCCCAAAGTTCCATAACGTTCCCGACTGATCACTGCCTACAAAACCACATCCGGATCAGCATTTTGTGCTCTTTGATTTCGAGGGCAAATTTGAATCAATACTATAAATAAAGGGTGATTGACGAGCTTCACCTTCGCATAAGGATCCACAAGAATCCGTCTGGCGTCATAGCAAGCACCCTCCTCTAAAATGTAACGACCATCGACTCGGTACCCATACAACAAGTTGGACTGCAAATCTGGCAGGAATATATGCCATACATCTCCAGTACGATTAAAGACTGGATGCAGTGGCACTTCCTTGGTCACAACACCCTGTCAAGCCAGCGTGTTCATCAGTGCAAATCGATCAAATAAAACAGTAAACAGGAATTCGCGTTGAATACGCCATAATTCTCTGTAGAACAGAGAGAAGAAGAGAAAAGGGGAAACATTGTTATTGAAAGCCCTAAAATATTTAGAACAGCTGCATAACATGCAGAGTTTGCCCATGAACAACTCTAAAATCTACTTCACTGACTTGAAGCATAAGAATGCCAATTTCTTCATCCTTCAAGATTTCAATCTATTGCATGTGCTAGAGGAGCGTGAGTTGAGTATTCGCTATTTGAGATACTCGAAACTCATGCCGATTTCTATTGTACTTTTCGCACTTCCAAAGAGTGATGGGAAAATCATTTCCTGAACAAGGTTTAATCGGAAAAAAGTAAAATGCCATCAACAAAATAAAAAAATAAAATAAAATAACATAACATAAAATGCGGATCACACAAGCGTCAAATTGTGCATCAGAGGAAGGAAGAGAGGGAGGGAGGGAGGGAGGGAAAGAGAGAGTGCACTTGCTGCAAGTCGGATTCTGTAAACAAGCACAGCGCCACAGCAGTAGCACCACTTGAATGCACCGCAAAATTGACGCCCTCCTCGCAAGCAGTGGCACCAAATGGCAAGGGCCTGCCCCTGAGAGGAGGCCCGCAGAGACGATGCCCGGCCTCTTCCTTTGACTCTGTCTCCGTATTGGCACTGTCAGAGCTCACGCCAGCCACTCTGCAAATTGTGAGCGGCCTCGCGGACAAATGTGTCGATTTCCAGCCCAGAGTATTCTTCTCCTTCCCATTGCCACTCCCGTCATCTGCCTTAATTGCCTTCACCACATGGTCCACACGCACTGCAACTTTCGTGCCTACTCCGGCGCCTCTCGAGCAGACCTGGGAGGTGAAAACCGCACCGGCACTTGAGCTTCGATGCCCTCCTACGCCCATGGCCATGGCCATCGCCATAGCTCAGAGTGATGAATTCCCCAACCAAATAATCCAACCTCAAATCCAACCTCCAATGCTTCTCTTCGTCATTCCCAAGTACACATTACGCTCCACGCTCCAATCATCCTGCTCAGAATCCAATCAACCACCAAGCGATCTCAACGACAATTCGCAATCCACAATTTCATACTCTCATGCTCAACCATTCATCCCTCCTTCCTAAGTCCTCAATCCAAATACCGGCAACCGTGCACCGATCCTCCACCATGACAACGCACCCCAACCATCCAAACAAATCACGGCTCCAAATTGCCATCCCGCTCCATCATTCACAGGTGGCCGCAGGTGGAAGCCGGAACCGCCTAGAAACGGGAGGGACAGGGGGGAGAGAGAGATGGTAGTAGTAGAAGAGAGCGGGCTAAGGGAATGCATAAGGCAGCAAATGGCGACGATGGTGGAAGAGGAAGAGGACGACGAAGAGGAGGGAGCTGTAGCGATGGGGATGGTGATGAAGCGATTGTGAACCATTCTCTCTCCCACCCTACACGTACGCTACGTCACTCTACGAGAAGTAGGAGGAGGGCCCCCCTAGGTTGCACGCTCGGTTGCCAAGCTCCGTTTGCTTCTCCCTCAGTTTCTCATGAACTTCGGTCGCAACGCAAACGGAATGTGCTATGCTCGACACCGTGCTGGATACCGTGCTTGTACGGTATTCCGCATGTACCCATATGACATGTATACTGTGAAGTTACGGACCCTAGAGTCGTATTCCTCTGAGTTGATGGTGGTTCGTTACCTACACAATATCCTGTGTCCTAATTTATTTCATTTTGTTTCAATGCTTCACCAGTTATTCATATTTTAATTACTAGATTCGTGTGAATTCTTTTCTGCAAAGTACTATTTTGTTGATTTCTTATAATGTTATTATTATTTATTTTGTTCTACCCTTATACTTTTGTAAGCACAATTCAAAACACATGCAAGAATCCAAATTGTGTAAGTTTTATACTATTTATATCAAAAGTATACAATGTTATTCAACATAGTATTCTTTGAGTTATTTTTAGACTTAATAAATTAGACTTGGTAGAAATCTAACATAATGTAGAATATGTATGCTAATGCATATATTTTTAATAACTATTTTTTCTTTAAATCAAGATAATACCATTGTTGCAAACTTTTCATTACCAATGTTACTAGAAGTGTTAATTTGTGTACAAATAATGGTTTAAAATATGGAAAGCTGGATTAAAATAAAATTTGAATAGAAAAGTATACAAAGATGTCACAAAATCAAAATTTAGTTGGATCTTAGATTTATTATTGCCCTATATATTTTTAGAATTAATTGATAAAATTCTAATAACATTAATGTGTTATTAGTTTTTATAAAACCAAATGCCATCTTAGACTTAAATGAAAACATATTGTTGTAGATATTCATTTAAATCCTTTTGAAACCTTCAATATTATTGTGGAATTTTTTAGATTTTTGTGCAGCATTCTTTTTAATATTTTATTCATTTTCTATAGAAAATTCTTATAATAATAAACACAGTACGTATTTAGAAGTTTTAACAAAAAAATCTCATCAATTATATATATATATATATATATATATATATACATGTGTGTGTGTGTATGTGTGTTTTGCAATGTATACTTATAAAGTAAGTATTCAAAACATTAAACCATACATTGCTAAAAGATCAAATAATAAGTCTTTAAAAACTTAAATAGTATTCATTTATTTATTTTGAATAGAAGTTAAAATAAAAACAATGAATTAATTGTGTTCAACTTAGTCAATCTCTTATTATGTCTTTCTTAATATTTATTTCATTACTTGGAAACCTCCTTGTAATTTGATAAGACAATTTTAACATTTCACATTTTTTTGATAAGATACAACATCTTACTCTTGATTGTCTTTATGTCTATCTATTTATTTGTATATTAAATACCGAGTGGTTATTTACTTTATATAATAAAAATTCAATATTGTATTCTATTTCTAATTTATAATAATTATATATATGTATTTTATTATTATTATTATTTATTTTAATTGTAAATTTAATATAAAGTTGATGTATATTTTGATAATATATTTGAGATTTTCTTCATATTACTGTACATATATATATATTTTTTGTTCTTAACATCACCTCAAATAAAATTAAAATTTTCCATGTGTATAATTTAATTTTGTTATGTTTATGCTTCCTATCTATACCTAATTGACAGTAAACTACACAAAGTACAATCAGTTACACAATACAATGTAATCTACTTGCATTAAAGAAAAAATCGTCTCCAACAAAGAATAACACATATCCAAAAACAACACGAAACAACAAATTTTTAGAAAACAAAATTTCAATTTCTTATTCGTCATGTGATACCTTTACTATCAATAATAATTTATGTTAGAAAATAAGAACAATTGAGTGTTAATACCAAAAATATAGTGATTTTAAATCCATATACAATGATAATTTTGAAAAAAATAAAATAAAAAAATCACAATATATTTGATCGAATCTCACCTCTTTCGTATAAATGAACACATTTATAAGAGAGTCAAAGGGAAAGAAAAAAACACACACAATCTTCATGTATTTTCTACCTCATTATATTAACAAGTAATCAAGATATTGCTACAATCTTTGCAAGTATTACATCTTGCCCAAAATTAGGAGCATAACAATCTCACAACTTGTGCATCCTGCCAACCCAACATGTGATAATTTTATTTTTTATTTTTCAGGGGGGTTATTAGTTTGATCCCCTTACCCATCTCATGCACTAAACCACTTCATATTTTAGGTTGAAAGGAGTTCTGAGCCCGTGGGAGAGAAATTAGGGTTTTCCAGCATTGCACAGGAATTTCGCAAGCGGTGTCGAGGAGGGAGGAGGGGTTGGCGTTGTTGCTACTGTGAGTGGCATTTGATTGCCTGCCTGGACAGACAGAAACCCTAGATTGCAGGGCTTGCTAGTAGTAACCTCAAGGACTGTTTGGAGGAACGGCGAGACTAGGAAGGGATGAGCCTCTAGTTTGTTAGATGCTAAGTGAGGCAATTGCGATGCAAGGCTCAGTGGCGACGAGAGCGGCTCTTCTTCGTAACTCTTTCCATTGCCTCCGATCTCTCAACTGTGGAGAGTTTCGATCCAGAAGTCTGGCTCCCAGCTCCAGCGAGCTTCTCCGCAGTTCAGTCGAGATTTTCAGGAGTCAAGTTGCAGAATTCGCTCCATGTCTTAAACCCTAAACCCTGAATCTTAGCCTTGCAATTGTGCAGCATTATGTTCAGCTTGTTTATCTATTGTATACTTGGGGGTTAGACCGCAGTTGCACCTGAATCGCATCTAGGCCTCTTCTGCTCTCGTGACCAAGGAGGGTTTAGCTTTGTGTATCGCCTGCGTTTTCTTATTCAAACTCATCTCGCGAGCGATTTATATCTTTTCTTCAAACTTTTACACGGACGCTTTGACAGGATGATTAACTCGGTATGGTTGATCTCTCAGATTCTACTGCAGTACCAGCAGGAAAACCAATTCAGGTGCAACTGCGGATTTTAAAGAAAGATGAGCATGGACTACGGGACAAACTTATTCCAGCTTCGTCCTGGCGCGTTCTCACTCGGCTACTTGATGCAGGCAACTTCGCCACAACTTTGATTGGGAAGGGTTTAGGAGAGAACTGCATACTGTGCACGAAGTAGACTCCGAAAATAAACGTGTAATTCAGTTATCTTAGTTGTTATAATCTTCTCTAGAGGAGTTAAGTCGGGGTGTAGTACTAAGCAGCAGAATTCTGAGAGGCCGGTCGAAAAGAGTTCTGTCTCTCTGCTTGCATAACCCTACTTCATCTAATGTATGTGTATCAAATGCTGTCCAATTTTGTGATTGTCTTCACATAACGTTAACATAATACTTAGTTCTTTACTGCATTGAGTAGAACCATTGTCATTGTGACACCTCCCCTACCTGCATCTGAAGCTCCATCTAAAGCGCTATTGGCTAGTCAATTTTCTGCAATTCCAGTTCCCTGGTTTCCGGGGAGTTCAAATGTTACATGGGCTAATTTGGGCTTAAAAGAAAAGGCTATAAATACTGGCTGTGATTTGTTTGTGTACATGTTTATTCGTTTTTTTTAAACGTATCACAGTCTTGCAGGGTACAGGAGCTACCTTGTTGGCGGCAGTGTACGTGATATGTTGGTAAAGCAGGTCCCCAAAGATTTTGATATCCTCACCACAGCAGAACCAAAGCAGGTTTGTTGTTCTACTGTTTGCTGTAACTATTCGTTCGTTGCTTCGTATCTTATCTACAACACTGTATAACTGGGTGAAGGAGTAGACTAAGTGTTCTTTTGGAGGATGAGGCGCACAATTTTCCTTGTGAATGATTGAGCATATGACGTTTTTCTCAGCATGTTTATTCTGTTGCTATTTTCTTAATCACTTCTGTACATTTCCGTTCAGTCTTCGAGAAAGGATTAATTCATTTGTTCTTATGGTTTCGGTTTTCTTGAAAGGGTAATCATTACTTCTCCTGTGTTCGTTTAGCTCGTAGTATGTTTTTGAATCACCTGGATGATCTATGCCGCATTATATTCTCTCAAGCCTCACACAAACTCCCGGTTGTCAGGTCAAGGCGGCTTTTTCTGGTCGGTGCATTATTGTTGGGAGACGATTTCCTGTATGCCATGTTACCTCGTTGAACACAGTTGTTGAGGTATGTGGTAACTTAAAAAAAGTTTTGAAGTGTTGATATGAGGCACCTCTACGGAGGTGCATCTCTTGTGATCTTTGCATGTTTTCCAAATGGTATATATGGGAGGCAGGTTTTCTAGCAGCAGTTCGAGGTTTTGTGAAGGGGGTAATGTGTATATGGAGCCACCAACTATTATCGGATATTCCAGATTCAACTCTACTTAATGTTATAACTTGGTTTTTCCTCAGTAGATCAGTAGGGCATCTTTATGACTTGCTTTATTTGAATAATTTCAGGTTTCAAGCTTCAGCACAAATTCGGGAAATATCAAGAGGATTACGTATGAACCTGTTGTCGGAACTGAGGGATGGAGTGAGGACGATTTCTCCCGATGGGACAATTCCCTGCGAAGAGATTTCACTGTCAATGGGTACAGCCTTGCTCACTTTGCAGCTCCATCCCTTTATATCTAGGTTACCAACGTGCTGCATATTTATTCAGAGGAAATATGAAGTGGTAAACCTTGTTATGTAAACAATGGACAATGCAGGATCATGTATGACCCATTTAAATGTATCATATATGACTACGTTGGTGGCTTACGAGATCTGAGGAGATGCAAGGTGTGATCATTGCCTGTCTTTGAATCAGATTCATTGATTTAATTTTTTCTCTCAGACGAAGTGAGTTTGAGCTTTCATTTGTTTGGATGGTATTAGTATCCTCGTCAATTGCTTGGAAGAACGGAACAGTGTATAATCGGAACCTAGATTTTATATGTTGACACTTCTATTCATTGTGACATGGAAAATTTGATTCTCATCTGGGTTTACTTATCCTTGTGTAGATTCGGACTGTTATCCCTGCACTCGAGTCTTTTGAAGAGGATTCAGGTTGGTGACGCCTTTCGATTCTGCAGAAATGTAAATTATATTGCTTATCAACATATAATTAAGAGGATTTGACATTTGATCTAGCAATTCATAGTTCCACAAGACAAGGATAAAGTATTTCTTCACTCCTCATTTGTACTAGTAGCCGTAGGGACTATTATTCTTCAATTTAATGAGGTCTGCAATAGGTTTTAGTATCGAACAGACTGATCGAATCTACTGGCTTCTCCATGTTGCAGCAAGAATTTTAAGGGCAATTCGTATTGCGGCCCGTCTAGAATTTTCCTTTGCAACCAGCACTGCAAATGCAATCAGACAATTAAAATCGTCCATATTGACATTGAACAAGGTACTTAATGTTTTGCATGTTTAAGTATATTCATCATCATCTTCGAAGCAAAGAGCTCAGCAGTGTTTGTGTAGGTTAATGGACACCACTTGAGTAACCGTGCTTTCTATATGAATGCTTTTGCTTGTTTATTCATGTTGAATCAATATTTTCTTGCTCCACAGGTATCTGATTTCTGACCAATGTAAGTATCATTGCCAACTGGGTTTTTTGGATGTGTTCAGACAAGATTGCAGTTGGAAGTGAACACAATGATGGCATATGGTTCTTCAGAGCGTTCTGTCAGACTGTTGTGGAGATATGGTGTCCTTGAGTACTTGCTTCCCTTTCAGGCAAGGCAACATTTTGGTCTTCTTGTTTTGTTCTTTTTAACCATTTGATTCCAACATTTGAGCATGATAATTACCCAACCAAGTATTGTACAGGCTCGATATTTCTCAAATACAAATCTTAAGCGCCAGGCACGTCGGTCAGATATTCTTTTGGTGAGTACTTTTCTCATCTTTTGGTGACGCAATATTTTTGTAACAAATAGTCGTCTTTGCAACGGATTTGAAGGCAGCAGCCTTAAGTGACTGAGTCGTGGGTGCGGCGCAAGTCGGCCAGGTCCTGCATTCATAGTTTTGGTTTTTTTTCCAAGCTTCAAGCTCCAGATCATCTGATGTTGAACTGAATGGTTGTCTAGATAATTTTTAAAGCACAATCCGTCTGTTTAGTAATCTACCTCGTTTTCTTTCGTTCTGCATTTGTAGCTATTCAGGTATACCCTTATTTACTGCACCTCACGGATGTTTGGTTTGCAGAAGCTGCTTGCGAATTTGGACAAAGTTACGGCTCCAAATCGTCCTTGTCATGGTGGACTTTGGTATGTATTGTTCCTATCATATTTTAATGTTTTGTGTTTCATCTTCTCAACGTCTCTCTAGTTCTTATATACATTTACTGTTGCATGTCCTCAATACGTAATTGTTTGGATGGGGACAGGGTTGCCATTCTTGCATTTCATCTTGCTTTGGTCGAAAGACCTTGGAGTCTTACTGTGGGGCCTACTGTTGCATTGGCTTTGTCATTCGGCACTGGCTTGGAGAAGGCCATAACTCAAGTACAAAAATTGTGTGACGCTGTTGACAAGAACGGTAAACATCTGTGGAATGATCAATTCAGGTGAGTATATTATATAGTTTAATCCTATTTCTCGCTCTTTATTTACAATTCGGTAAGGTTTGAGCTAGCGTGAATACCTAGAATTAGTTGAAATATTATGCGCTGAATTTGCTAACCCTTGAGTAAATGTTCGGTGCCGTGAAATGTGAACGCAGGTCATGTGTAAAGGAGATGGATGAAGTAGTCATTTTAAACGATTGTCAAAGTTTTGTGGATTTGTGCCTCAACAATGTGGCTCAACTTCACAGCGCTGCAGCGACATGCAAGGTGATGCAGGAATTGAACATTTCAAGTCCTCCTTCAGATTGGGTATGCGTCCATATAATTTCCTCTCTTTACGTTGTTGCTGCATGCTTCGTATTTATTCTTTGAAATGTAAAGTCACATCTTTAACTTTTATTAGTTATGTTCAACCGTCTTTCCGTATAATAGTACTTGACGCTGGTGATGAGCATGCTTCTTATAATGCTTCTGGTAATGTGAACAGGGCGTTGTCTCCAAACCCTATTTTTACAAGGCAAACCACCTATTCAATAGAGCTCTAACTTCTAATTCAGATGATTTTCCAGATATTGTTCATGATACATACAAAGGTGTACTTATGAACAGCTCCTTTTCCACAAATGGAGGTATAGAGGATTTAGGTAATGTTTTTTCTCATGTTGTATTGAGCACCTTATTTCCTTCAGTTTCGAGTTCTCTGTAACAAATATCCTTTTTGTATGTACTGTTTGCTGATGATCTTGGGAATGTGGTGATTTATTCGCCAATACACGAGCACACGGCTGTGGATTTGAGCAATGGGCATGGATGAAGATGTTTAAGAATGCACTTTTTGCAGTTTGTTCATGAGCACAAATCGTTTTTGAATATTGAATTGGTGTCTTGCCACTTCAGGCAAATTAGCTCTAATACTACTGAAGTGTTTGTTGTAACTGTATGTAATTTAAGTCGTATTTAATATTAAATAATGACAATATTTGAGATTATTTAGGTGGTTATATTATACAACGGCTGTGGAAAAAAGTTCTTAATAAGAGATTCTCCGTTTACTTCTTATACATACTTTTTTATCTTAAAAATCTAATGCACGACACGGTTTTTATGATTAAATTCATTTTTAGTTATCACAGCTACATTATGCTGTCAATATATCTGATGAAAGGCATAGTAGACATTGAATATATTGTATACATTGACTCGTGAATCCAATACGAACAATTATTGTGGGAATTGTATTAAATATTGTTTAAACTGTCATGTATGATTTAATGCTATTACAAGGACATAACACATAGAAAGTTATCAGCAAAATGAAACCTGTCTAACCACGACACTTTAGGGTACGCACCTTTCTGAAAAAATATAATTTGGTAACTGATTCGATTATTCAATAATTTTTGCAATCAAAGTTGTGGTGATTACATTAAAACCATATAAATAAATAGTATTGATCATCATTTGAAACCTAAAACCCTAAACCCTGAACTTGAGTAAATTAGGTTGAATCTCCGAAATATAATTATTATGAGTCATCAAAAAATTAGAAAATTCAAGTTGATTAAATTTTAATTTTATGTATAAAACACAATGTGTAAATTGATACCTAATAAGTAGTGCTAAGACTTTTAGAGTGAAGTACCAAGTCAACTTTACGACCCCAAAATCTGACAAAATCTTGCATACATACAAACACCCGCACACACACGAATTAATTAAAAATATATATAAAAAAATATAGAACTATCACAGATACAACATACATAAAAGTAAAGAAAAAAGAAAAGGTGAATGAGAAGAAGGGGAATGAGAAAAAGGCGAAAGATATCCGAAATGCAAAAGGCATCCCTGAGGAGGAGGAGAAGCATCCATGGAAGTTTTCCTCCCTGCACACGAGGAGAGGACACGTGGTAGAAGGACGTCAATGCAGAAGTCGCGTCATCCGCCCTCCCATCCCGCCCGCGCGCTTCCTTTTTTATTTAAAGTTCAGGCCCTGTCACATCATCTTCGTTACAATTGTCTCGCTCCTTTTGCTCTTTAGCTCCCCATTTCCTTTTCCCATTTGATCTTGTGCTTCGTTGCTGGAAGCTCTTGTGCTCTTTGGTGCTCTCTTTTGCAACAGGAACTGGAATTGGAAGGTGCGCCGGGTGTTGTTTGTTGTTTTTTGTTGTATGTATGTGATCTGTTATTTGAGGAGATGGAACGAGGAATCGGAATTTGAATTGAGGTTATTTTGTTTGTGTGTTTGTGTGTCTGCTTGTTTGTTTGTTTATTTGATTGAGTGTTTGTTATTTTGTCTTATGTCGTTTGGTGTGTTGTACTGGCAGGCATGGCAAATATAATTCAGGAGGCGAAGGAAGCTGTGATTCCGGGTGAATCGAAGACGTCTGCATCTGGGAAGCGGATTTTGATCGTGGCTACATCTCACGATAAGCTTGGCGACAGTGGCCAACCTACTGGATGCTGGTAACTCAATCACACATTTCACAATGGGATGTGGTTAGGGGAGTAGTTGCTGATGTGATGACATTTGTGCTGGTATCTCTTACTGAAGAAGAGCAGCGGTAAAATCTCGTTCAATGTTTCAGGGAAGGAAGGAATCATGTTGGCTGTTCAGATTGGTAATTGTATGTCTTTTGTCTCTTGCTGCTAATCTTATCATTACTATGTGGAAGTATAGAGAGGCCTTCCCTTCGCAACGGTTTTGATATTTATCTGCTAATTTTCCCGCGCATGCTACGAAGCAAATGGTGTACTTGGTCTAGGCCTATGCTGTAGTGACTGTGGATTAAAATTTCGGTCGACTTTCCAATTATAGGGCTGAGGAATTAGCGGCTCCATACTACATTTTCAAAGATGCGGGTGCTCAAGTGGATGTGGCGAGCATTAAGGGTGGAAAAATTCCAATCGGTTAGCTCCTACTTCTTGTTCGATTGTTTTGTATTTCTTTGTCGACCTTGTTAATTATGAGTTTACAAATCAGGTTTAGTTTCAACTTATTTGAAGATTTTCTCCAGTAATCATGTCCGTTATCTCAAACTAAAACATTTGGAAATTTTACGTATTCTGTGTGCTGATGAGATTTTTCTAATTTTAGTTGAGTTGTTTTTGACAGATATTGGGAGTCTAGCAGAGAATTTCGTGACCCCCCATGTGAATCGCTACTTGGCGGATGGTAAGACTTAAATTGTCTCCCCTCACGTCCACTCTCTTACGGTTCTAGTGATTCAAAGTGCATGATGTTTTCTACCGCTGAGTTTGATTTAGATTCCAATGCTAGCTACACAGTTTAATATTCTTCCCAATGTCCTAATTGCTGCAGAGTCTCTGAAAGAGTCCGTTGAGCTCGCTTTCAGTGAAGGAAAGTTTTTCCAATTACGACGCCATTTACATTCCAGGTAACCACAATTTACACCGAGTTTTACATGTGTTCTACGTTACAGCTCTTACTATTTTATTTGGGAAGATCTCATGTGGTTTGGTGAATATAATTGGCAACATAGCAATGCCTGCTTCCTATTCATGTAGATGTTCTGGGGAGTAGACATTCCAAGCACTGAATTCATCAACCTCTGGTTATTGCAGGAGGTCATGGTATTATGTTTGATGGGCCAAATGACAAGCATTTTATTGCTGTGGTTGAGAAGTTCTGGACAGAAGGAAAGATTGTGGCCTCTGTATGTCATGGCCCTGCTGGACTTGTGGCCATTCGGGCCCCAGATGGCATTCCCATTGTGAAGGGTAAAAAGGTAGGAATATATTTGCGGGTTATATTACCTAAGAAACAAATGATTCTTTTCCAATGTGAAGGGGTATCAATCATGTGCTATGTACGTGTGTCCAGGTCTGTGGGTTTTCAAATGCTGAGGAAGCAGCAGTTGGAAAGACGAACAAGGTCCCCTTCCTTCTTGAAGACAAGCTCAAAGAATTAGGTGGCTTATATGAAGCTGGACCTGATTGGGTATGTCATAATTCCACATGTTTCACAAACTTAACCCTTTTACATAATGTCAATTCTAAGCATGCCATGCATTTATGCCTGGTAGAGAGTTCATATGGTACAGATTGTGAACTGTCTTGTGGCCTAAAGACTGATCTTAGTTCTTATCCTTTTATTTTTTTTGGGCTTCTCAAAAGATGATGTGTTTGTGATTGTTGAATGCAGCAACCAAAAGCTGTTGCCGACGGACAGTTAATTACAGGACAGAATCCAGCAAGCTCTGCTCCTGTGGCAGAGCTGGTTCTGGAGGTTTTGGTCTCAAAGTTTTAGGGCGTGATGGGCACGGATTCAGAATAGAGAGTTAAATCATACCTAGGAAAATACTCTTTGCCAACTCTATGTGAATAACCAATTTTGTGTACACCTAGTCAACATCATGTTGATCTGAGCACATAACAGTATGTGAAACACATTCTGTAAAATGTTAGCCTTGTATCGGACAAGTAGGTTTTGTTCATAGGATATAAGATTGTTCTTTTCACCTCTTGTTGTGCCTCATGTCTGATAGTTTCAATGCTTCTAAAGGTCAGCTAGGCAAGGCTATTTACAATAAAATAAATTGGTTCTTATTTATTGAAGTAGTTGCCTTGTGGTTGAATACATTGAAACTACTTATCATGTTTATTGTTTGTTGAATATAAGATATTTTTTCAAGAATACATCTTTTCTGTGTCTTATATACAGCTAATACAAACTCATGCAACATTTTTACATAGTATACTAATCTATGTATTGAAATAATGTACGTTATTTGCTCCTAGCTTATAGCAACGAACTTATGTATTCCACATGTTCCCTGGAATAATTTCTTGTTAGTTGCAATTTTAACTTGATCTAATGCCAACAGAGATACATCTGAGAATCTTATCCTCAAAAGATAGTTATTAATATAATTCTTACTTTTTGATACACCAAGGATAACTCAATGCGAAAGTCTAGTAATCATGGATAACCACTTGACAGTTAAATTAATTCAATGGAAGTGAATTTCACCTTCCAGAAAGGATTTATAAAAATACAAATGAGTGCTAAACAAATCAAACGAGGCTGATTGCGTAAACTACTTCTTCTTCTCATGATAACTGATATACTCTTGATCTTCCAGCCGAAGGACCCATTTAAAAGCTCTTCATGTGGGTAAAACCTTGGACTGTGCCCTTTTACACGCATGTAAAAGTCTATACTTGCCTGTGCTAATCCAAGTCTAAACTGACTAAATAGCATGGGAAAATCCAAACAATAACCTCAAACAAATGTGCACATTAGTCGTTGTGGATCCCAGTCAGGCAACTCAATCATTCAAATGAAAGTAATATTGACATCAAAACGTCATTCTGTGTATATCACATGGTGATGCTTCCAGAGGGGATCAACAACAACAGTGCTGCCACCACAAGCAGCAGCAGCTCGGTTGGAGGAGCATCACCGGCGCTGGAAGTTCAAGTATTTTATGGCAAAAACAAAGACTCCACCGAAGAGTATCGCCCACAGGAAGAGAATCGGCCCCACAAACTTCAGATAGTCGTGGTTGAAGCCAAATTGCTGATCCAAGTAAACGTTTACGGTGGTGGGTTGGGAACCCGTAACGTTCAGCCGATCGGTAACATCTCCATATTGAGAGGCTAGAAGAGCATACACAGAATAGGCCACAGGGCAGAACCAGTAATACCATATCCACCACCCAGGGATGTACTGTCAACACAGCACACACCAGAGTTAGTTTGTGTTTTGTTCCAGATAACTCATGAAAATAGGGGGAGAAATTGTGTACAATCTAGAAAGGGGTGAAAATGAAGTCAGGAACTTGGTTGAGAAGAGGGGTGCTCACAGGACGAGGAATTAAGAAGCCTGAGTAGAGGTTGAAAACCGTGTAGAAGAATGTGCTAAGGACGGTCGCTAGGATCAAGTTTGGAGTAATCGCCACCATCATCATCCCGTAGTATGTGAAGGTCACCAAACCGATGCACTGGGTATAGAAGTACCAGAAGAATTTAGCCGGTGTCCAGATAAAGGCCAGCATTGAATACGTGATAGATGAATACATCGCTGCTTGGACCAAGACGTAGGGAATCTCAACCAGAACCTGATGGAGAACACCATCCAGGGATAAGTGTGAGCTTAGATCACGATCCATCCATTTGAGGGAAGTATCTCATAAAACGATTAAAAGCTGAGAAGTACAGACGTGTAAGAAGTTGACGAAGTTGTAGTAGTATAGATTGAAGGTCAAAGACAGTAGAGTATTGGTCACGAACCTGTGCCAGTGCATACGATGTGGCAGAGTACATTCCGGCAGCTTTTTCACGGTAATGGACAGTTCGCTCTATGCTCACCATGGGTTGCACTGTCTGTGCATTGTTGAAGCACAGAAACAGTGTGGCTCCATACAATGCTCCAATCGTAGTTGTCAATTCTTCCAACGTGTCGCTGTGGGGCAGATTGAGAGTCAACAAGTTAGAAAGAGAATCCCCGAAAACAATCAATTTACACACTTCAAGAGACAGTTGGTCCTAATTTTTTACTTTAAAAGAGAGGGGAATTGTAGGGTGTGGCATCCTCTGTCTTCGAAGAGAGGATTCGTGGTCACTCGAGGAAAAAATAAGGGTTTTGACGCTCACTATTTCTGCCCAACGCCCCAGAAAATGCTTCCGCAAATGAGTGCAGTGAAAAACGTGAAGCCGTAGCGAACAAGGTTGTAGTTGGGGCTCCTCCAGTATGATATGTTCTGCTTCCACAGCGTGCATCCCACCTGACCCCGGAACGAGCGTGGATACTCAGTCGGGAAGTATAGGTCTTTAGATCCCGGAGCTGGCACCTTCAATTCCTCTACTAGCTGCTTGTTGCGTCTGTTCCGGCGAAGATTGCCACCGTTAGTCACATTCAATTGAGATACAAGCCATAATTATCTTTAGAAGACGGCATAATTAACCATTATTGTTTCCACCACATGAAATCACAAGGCATTGTTATTGATTATATTCGCATTGTCTTCCAACAAATGTATGAAGATGGTAATGGAGAGCAATATTTACTTACTGATACAGAGATGATTTAAGGTAGAGGTCTGCGAAATCGACCCCTAGTTGGATTTCCGTGTCAACGTTGGACACCTCCAGCATCCATGTTGCAGGATTGTATCCATCTTTAATTCTGGTTATTCCAGGAATTGCCTGCATGTGAATACAACGATTAAGCCAACTTTGCCACCCAAACTAGGCTCTATTTCAACACTGGCATGTCATTCTCGGTAACCAATACACGAGGCAGGAGACGGGGTTGGCAGCATGTCCAGACGGATGTCTTGTAAAATTTCCATTTCCAAACTAAGGCATTGATGACAAGATAGTGATAGACGAATCACAAGATGTAAGAGATTCTAGAACCTGAAAATATTCGACCAGCTTGGAAGACTGGTGTCCCAATGGTCCAGCGTAAATGACACGGCCTCCTCTTTTCAAAAGCAGCAGCTGCCAAACGTTCCGAGACATAATCAATAAACTATTTGTCGCAAGAATTGTTTACTTCTCTTGAGTTCTAACTGTCTCAGGAGGAGAGAAGCGATGTGCACTTCCTATGGTGATCTTTATGGAAAGTGAAGATAAACCTGTTGCTGGCAATTTAAAATTATATACCTCATCAAAAGCTTCGAAGATATCGATGCTGGGCTGATGGATGGTGCAGACGACTGTTCGACCTGTATCGACGGTGTTCCGAACAGTTCGCATGACAATGGCGGCTGCACGGGCGTCGAGCCCACTTGTGGGCTCATCCATGAATATGATGGAGGGATTCGCAACCAATTCCACAGCAATGGTCAACCTCTTTCTTTGTTCTGTCGACAACCCTGTGATGCCTGGCAATCCGACTAAAGCATTCTCTAGCGGCGTCAACTCTACCAAGTCCAGGACCTCATCCACAAACGCCTGCACAAAAAAATACCATTAATATATATCTATACCTGAAAGTATTCAACACAAGGCAGTTTGCAACGAGACTGATGGAAATATCAAATCTTCACGTGAGAGCTCTAGCAGTTGGATTGGTATGTTTCAGTCACCATTTTACTGGCATCATCAACTTCTGTGTTGAGACGAAGCCATGCAGAGTAAATGAGAGCCTCACGGACAGTCGTTTGAGGAGAGTGGATATCATTTTGCTCGCAATACCCTGAGATGCGGGCAAATGTTTTCTGCTTCTTTGGGTAGCCCGAGATACGAATGTCACCCTCGATGTAGCCGCCTGTTTTCCGTCCCGCTAACACGTCCATTAACGTAGTTTTCCTGCAGTATTATTAACATAAATAGTTGCAAACTGGGAGATAGATAAGCTGCTTAGGGAATTCAACAACTTACGACTGAGATAAAGAGGTTAGTTTCACACACCCAGCTCCACTAACTCCCACAAGAGCCGTAAGCACACCCGGTCGAAAGGCTCCCGTTATACCCGAAAGCAGCTTAAGCTTTGATTCTGTAACTTCGGCCGACTTCATCTCCTACATAACAGGGAATACAGACCAGACATGAGATTCCTGTTGAAAATGTGCTGCGAGGCTCACATCTGTGCAAGACGTGAAGAGCTGAACAGGTTCGGGGGATAACGCACCGCCGGCATGTCAACATAGTAACAGACGTCGTCAAATGATATGCTCAACGGTTGAAACGGCAGTATCATTCCGCGGCGAACCACCTTATCTTCATCTTCAGCTGCCTTGTTTTCAATCTCAGCATGATTTTTCGAAGAGCGCCTGCTTCTGCTGAGTGTCGTCGGTGCCTCTTCAGCCCTAATCATCGCAGCTGAAATAGACTTCAAGTCTATTGACTTCCTGGACCGAGATCGTGATCGGGACGCTGACTTTGGCAGGCCTATTCCTGTGGTTGTTGCTTCTTTCTCAGCGAGCTCTTGCTCAGACATAATGGTTTGCTTCTTTCCAATCGCTGCACGATGTGTAGCACAGCATTACATTAACACAAGATTCTGAGCGCCTATTCGAGGTCAGTTCTATTATTGTTGAGTGCGTAATAAGGTAGTTAAGTGCAAAACAGCAGCAAAAGACACTGAGTGCTGGGGGTTGAGTGTTTAAGATCACTAACCAGGCATGTAGCCAAGGGTAAGAGTGAACCCAAGATTGAATAAGACGTAGAAGCCAAAAAGACCTCCGACTCCAATCCAGTACCAGTAAGAATATGGGAACAGACCACGACTTTGCAGAACCGCAACTCCCAATTCGGTGGTGGCGTCCCCAGGGCTAGGCTGCAAGATTGAACAATCAAGTATAAAGGGTTAACATAGAGTTTCAGATCAGAATCTTCTCATTTTCAACTACAAACAATGCACACTCGAGTTTCAATGGCACGTGGGATTGAAGGGAGCTTACTTTCCGCCATCGAGGGGCGAGAAGTTCATTCACACTGATGGCTTGCTCGGCGTACGCCATATTAGTCGCCCAATAGGCCCATCGCCACCACACTGGGATGCTCGGGCGAGGAATAATAAAACCTCCGAGCATGAAAAGCAATAGGATCATAATCCAACCCAATGTGAAGGCCAATGTGTCGGTCCGGCACAACCCAGCGACGAAGCGGAACATGCCGCCAGCTTGCTGTTGAATCAAGAACAGAACGAGATATTGTTTGAAGAAGCGACCGGCGTCCGGTGCGTATCCCGTGACGAAATACGTCATGCTCGTGTAGATTCCGACCTCCACCAGAGACGAGGGGATACTCAAAATCATGGCGGAGATAGAGTAAGCCCATGCGGGGCTTAAGAGCATGTCACGCTGTTTGATGAGAACCGGGAGCCGCCCGATGGTGCCCGCGAGTTCGTTGAATCCTGTGAAGAAGAAGATGACAATTGCGAAGAAAAGGACGTTCAAGTAAAGGATCCCATCGTTCAGTGTGTCTTGATTGAGACGAGTGCGGAAGAAGGTGGTCATGGAAATGAATGCACCCACCGTTATCTGCACAGAATACACTTTGGATCATCATTTACCTACGTAATTGTCCACAGACTTTGCAATCTGGTTGCGGACTGTGATCATGCATACCTGAACCGCTTTCACGATGTTCACAATAGCATTTCGTTTCGCGAGGACGCGCTCGCGCTGGAAGCAAGCCTTGAGCAGCTCAAACTTCCCAATGGAGTACTTCTCTTTGGCTAATGCTGCAGGGTGACTTTTCTCTCTAGGGTAAGGTACAGAGAGATCTTCCTTCATCTTGACACCGACGTGGAAAGAGTGGAACGCATCCGCAAATTCCTTGACGGAAACGTATCGGTATGGTTTCTGCTTGTGGGCCCAATACTGCTCTTGATCTTTTCTCGAGGTTACTTCTTGCAAGAAATCAGCGATGCCCTTGCGCTCTGGCGATTTGAACCCACACGATTCGAAAAACTCCTCCACGTTTCCTATGGGACCATGGTACACGACCTGCCCTTCCGATATCAGAAGAACATCGTCGAAGAGGTTGAAAGTCTCTGGAGCTGGCTGCAACAGCGAGATAAAGACAGTGCCCGACATGGAGTGTGTAAACCGGCTCAGGCTCTTCACGATGGAGAATGTGGTGGAGCTGTCCAAGCCTGTGGAGATCTCGTCCATGAACAGGACCTTCGTGGGGCCGACAATCATTTCCCCTGCAATACGGAGCAGAGCAAATGTATCGTCAATCTTAGGACGATTACATCCTCGAAGTCGGACAAGTGCTTCTGTCCGTGATATGAATTGTGTGATCGAAGATTCAGATTCTACCTGTTGTGACTCGTTTTTTCTCGCCTCCGGATATGCCCCTCCGCATTTGGTCTCCGACCATGGTATCCGCGCATACGTCAAGCCCTAGCATCTGCATTCATACATCGCGCGCGTACACTAATTAGCAATTCTCTTCCACACACGACCTTGGTAAGAAGAGCAACACGGCGTTGTGTTTGGAACAAGTGGAGAGCCCTACGTTTAGAACATACTCCACCGCAAGGCTACCATTGCTGCTCGGCAATGCCGCTGCTTTCATGAAGGTGTCCACGTCCGGTTCAGGGCGAATGCCGGCCTCTTTCTCCCTCTTCACGACCTCTTCCAGTATATCTGCACCAATCTCGCATCCTTTCAGCAAATTTTCCACACACACATTCGAGAAACGCATTGGGAAAGGGAATTCCACTGCAGTACTATGGAAGGAATCTCGCAACGTCCTTATCCTCCCCAATTTTTTTGTGCAAACGAGGAGGTGACTGGATCACTCACGGTACTGTGTTCCAACGCCTTGAACTCGCGCTGAGAAATCCAAAGTCTCACGAACCGTGAGCTGGCCGTTGTGAAGGTCATTTTGGCTGACATACATGGCAGTTTTCTGAGGCACGAACTCCTTGTGGGTGTGACCATTGAAGGTCACGGATCCCTTCACCTGCAAAACGTGAACAGTTTACTGATTTTGTTAAACATTGGTTTCAAGCTCCTATATCAGTCCACTGCTATTGGATTAATACAACTAATTGACGTGAGTTCCGTAGTTGGATATCAACTCGCTGGAAGATCAGTGCTTACCTTCAGGCTGCTGTCAAGCTTTCCCGCAAGGGCGAGCATAAGCGTCGTCTTCCCCGAGCTGGGTGGGCCTAGGAGCAGGGTCATCCTACAGCGACATCAATTCAGTCAACGATGGCACCTTTTGACTCCTACAAACGCGAAGCAAAGTGTAATCATTGTGCATTCGACCTACGGAGTTTCGTGCAGTGGTTTACCTGCCGGGTTTGATGACGCCGCTGACGTTGTCCAAAATCGTGATTACTTTCTTCTTCGAGGTTGCAAGATGAAGGACGTCCAGAATCCCCTATTTCCAACGGAGTTTAATCTAAGCAATTTCATATTAATCCAGAACCAAATCTTTCTCGTCACGGTCCGGTTTAGCTAAGGGATTTGTTCGACAAACGTGTAACGTAACATTGAAATTTGCAAGAACTTTATGTAAGATTACTGACCTCGACAATGTTCAGCAACGTATTCCAAAGAGTTGGCAATCCTCGGTTACCCACATAACAGTTCGCTTTGATAGACAAATTCTCGTATCGAACCTCAATCGTCGGTAGATCAATTCCAACCCTACAAGAAACAAATCAAATTCCCGCCGCACTCAAAAACTTTTTCGCACTTGGTAGTTACAAATTGACGCAAATCCTCGGGCAATGTGGGAATTTGCGAGATTATTTACATGTCCAAGCGTTTTCGAAGCTTGACGATGAGCTGCTCGTCTTCGGCATCCGCATTCCGCTGCGCTTTCTGCAGCAGATGCCGGAAATCTTCTTTAGAGAGATCCTTGACGTCGACCTGTCGCACGCTGCCGCTGTGCTTCTGGAAAACCGACGTCCGGAGCCGGTCGTAAGTGGGGAGCTTCTCCAGAGCGGCCCAGCGAAGCGCCTCTTCGTCATAGGCATGATTCGATTGCCTTAATGCAGACTCCAGAGGGTTAGCGCCGAAGGCCGTGGGATAGTTCGAAAGGCTCTCGCGTGTGCTCCGCGACATGGAGCCCGACATCCGCCTGCTGCGGTTCACCAGCGGCGTGGGGACGTCCTTCACCTCGTCCACCTCTTTGCCTCTATTCTCCGAATTCGCCATAACTTATTATTTGCTTCAAGTTCTTCAGCGCCCAGTTCTCTATTCTAACAATCTATCCACACCAGTTCGAACACTGGCCAGTTTGAAGCAAAAATCACCAATTTCGACAGACTTCTGTACAATCCCGACACAATGAAGCCAGCGCTGAACAGAGGATTCAATGCAGAAAGAAAATTACCAGAATGGCGGGGAAATGAGCTCCGCAAGCAAGATTTATACCCTGGAGCCACCCTCATTCCTTCACTAATTCCGGAGACATGATTCAACTAGTAGAAGTTTAGCTCCATGCAGTAATGCAGTCGTTTTTGGAGAGTGCCAAATACTCAACTCAACTTCCATGGTCGCCAAGTCTTCTCCAGAGAAACGAAGCAACTGCAATCAGCTTCTACATGCGACGGACAATCTCATGAGCAGCCGTCTACTGATACTCTTGCTACTATCAAATGGCTTTCGTGAGTATGACATCCAGCTGAAACAAAGCCAAAATTAGAAGTATGGCAGTCACCTTCGCAATTCTGTGCCGCACTGGCCGCGCCCTTTAAAACAACAGTCAGGTCCAAAACTGGAAGAACGCTGCAAAAGTACTCCAACCTCAGCCGCATCTTTAAGGCACGTAGGCATCTCTTTACCGAAGCTAAAAAAGACACTGACTTTTTTCCCATTGCACTTTCCACAGAAACAGTGAGGATGTATCAAACTACAAGCTCATGAGCGTTGTACCCAATTACTGAATGCTCTTCACTCCCGGTGCCCAGCTCGTTCGCCGAAGGCTTCTCTCTCTCTCACATCTTCCACGTCCCTAGTCTAGTTTTCCTGATCCGGCAACGCCTTTGACAACACTACAGACAAAATTATATACATGAATATATTCATATATATATATATATATATATATATAAACGAAAAGGAATGAGATGAAACTAAAGCAAAAAACTAAAGGAGTAGGGGCTGCCTTGTGCCCCAATCCATGGTTTCTGCGTCGGTTACATTCTGAACGGGAAGCTTCGCAGCCAACTCTCTACCATAATTAGAATAATGGCTAACTGTGGGCTCGATGGAAAAAGGATTTGTGAAGGCCGAGACTGCAGACCTCACGTATTGGTGGACCCACGTTCAGTGCTCCATTTTGACTGGCTTGTGTGAAAGTGGGAGTCTAGGGAATCGATCCCTCGACCTGACCGACGGTAGTCAGCCGTCACTTGAGTAATGGGTTTGTATAATAAAATGGATGCTTACTGAAGTTCTGTCATTTTACGTCAACGACTACCCATATAAATCACAAAAAAATTAAATAAAAAATAAAAAATAGATGTTTCATGTCAACATTAATCTAGTCGAAATAAACACATGCATGTGTATGTGTGTGTACATATATATATATATATATATATATAAATATGTATCACATGTATACCATTAAAATCATTAAGTATAGTAAATGTATTTTTGTAATTCATCAAATAAACCATGACTATCAAATTAAATAAGTTAATCAAATACACTTAGTGGAATGTAATGTGCATTGTTAATTACTAAGAGTATAATCCTATATACTCCATGCAAAGTTTGCTCATGGCAACATTATTCATGTCCTTACAATTAACACCCAGTTATCCAAACCATGGCTAGCATCGTAGTTTACATTTTTTAGTTTTTTGAATTTTGTATTTTAACATCTAAATAGATTATAAAAAAATCATTGAATTTAAATAAAGCACAAAATATAGACACGTGAATCTTCAGAATGATGCAAGATTGAAGCCAAATAGCCCATTAGAAAATCTTTACGCACATTTGAAATAAATGTTTTAATACTCTAATGGCATAAATAGATAGTTGGCCTCGTAAATAGTTAAATGATCAAATTCTCAATTGTTTACAATTGTGAAGGAAATGGGACATTTAATCTATTGTTAGAAATAGGGTACTATTCATGTAGGTCTATCTGGTGGCATGCACTCATTAAATCAAGTCATGCCACGACACCAAAAAGGATCTAAAGAAACATCCAAGTGACTTTTTTAAAAGGAAGTTATTTTAGAACTGGTTCATTTATGAAATAATCTTTATGCTTTATATTCTGGACAGTTTTATGATGCTACAAGAATGATTTAATCTTCCGAATCATTGAAAAGTTATTACATCCTTGATAACTAATTAAAATTCAACATGTATAAAACATTTATGAATAAGTCAAATATACACAGTTTAAATATAAATACAATAAAATAAGCCCGACAAGATCTTCCAGGGAATATTAAGAAGTCTTTCAAAATATATGTATTTAATTTTTTAAACGGTTATTAGAATAAATGCTTATGATAATAGAAATGAAAATATTGAAAATAATAATAATGAAAATGAATAAGGAAACAAGAGGTTGCCAAATCCCAATGAGATCAATAAATTTAAAAGTAACTAACAAACAAACAAACATACAGACAAAAAAACAGACATAAAAAATAGGAAAATAAATGAAAGAATTTTGTTCATTGGGTATCATTCAGGGAAGTTACAACTTTCAAGTTGGTTAGAATATAGTGCTGAAAATTTTAATGGCCTTAAACATTTTTAAACTTTTAACCAGCAGGGTACAAAGGATTTAGAGTTTGTTGCATTCATGCAACCATGTGTAAGGGACTGAAATAGGCAGCCCTTACACTAAACGAAAGAGCTGAGAGTCGTTCAATGCCCAAGGGCGACTTGCAGTGAAGTGACGAAAGGAGAGGATGGGTGGGTCATCTTCTTCGACCTCGAAGGAGTGGGGATGCGAGTGGGGTCGATGGGACTGGAACGCTCCGGGTCCCGGGTGCCCTGTAGGACACCCGTGACGCTACTAGTAGGTAGAATAAGTGCGAGCAGTCCGTCTAGTCTTAAACGGACATGAGGAGGGATGTGACCTCTTGGTCTCTTCGGACGTTGCCTACATGATGGTTGTTAGTGGGGCGGATTGGGACGTAGCGAGGGGGACGAGAAGTGACCTTGGCCGCCCTCGCACATCGTGAAAGTGACGGCGGACACATACTCGATGGAAGTCCAAGGTGTTGCGTCTCAAGTCCCATCAGATGGGAATACTCAGCCCCTCTCACCTGCACCCGGATGGGCAGCGTAAGTCACAGTAGGCGCGAGTGAGAGAGTGTCAAGAATAATTCCGCATTGGGTTAACTCGGTTCTAACGTGGTTTGTGTGGGATGTCTCGCAGAGAGTTGGAGGGATCTCATAGGGGCGAAGTTACATGTGGTATCAGAGCGCTTAAGACCGGGATTGGCGAGAAGCATGTGAGGGGAGATCTTCTGAACCTTTCGTCAGTAAGAGACTGCAGAGAAGGGAAAGAGGACCACGAAAGCTTCGACTCAACGGTGCGATGAGAAAGAAATTTTGGGAGGAGATTTGCCGGAGGGCCAGGTAAGTCAGGACCTAAAGCCAAAACACAAACTGATTAAGAAGAAACCCGCTCTTGAGAAAGAGAATTTGAGCCACTCAGAGAGAGACGGCGAAGAAATTCATTGAGATGTGAAGGAGATCGCAAAAGGACTGGCGATTGACGTGGAATCTCCGATTCAAGTAAGTAAAGAAGAGATGAGTGACCAAGAGGGAAGAAACCCGAGGTCACAAAGACAGACGACATCCAGAACTTCGAACCACTCGACGGATTCGCAGATGGAGCGGCAAGAAGTTGTGTCCTTACTCGAAGTCGAGAAAATTGTTTTGAAAATGATGGAAGAGAAAAACCGAGAATTCGAGAAGAAGATGGAAGTGAATCAGCCCCTGATCGATTCATTGGTGAGAGAAAACATGAGGAAAGAATCGCTGCTGGAAAGTCAAAAGAGTAGGTCGAGCTCCTATCGAGCAAAGACGGATCAACCAAGGAAGTGGCGGGGCACAGAGCAAAGAAGAACCACAAGGAGGTTCCTAAAGGAAGTAGAACACTGGTGCCTGACTAACGATGTCAAAGACGATGTCGATAAAATCAGGACTCTATCAGCGCTGCTTGAAGGAAGCGCATTAGATTGGTTTGATGGAAAAATCAAAGCCAATTCTAACTATGCCAAGGAAACCGCGTGGTGTGAAGTCTGTGAGAAGCTGATAGGGAGATTTGAAAGCAAGTGGCAGAATTTTGTAGAAGGACTGCAACTGCTTAAGCTCAGGCAAGAAGCAGGCAAAACCTCACTTTTAAAATATGTTGGCTATTTCCAGAACCAATTGGCATACACTCAGATTATGAGAAGTATTTGTTACTTTTCTTTTATAATGGGTTAAGTGTCGCGACCAGAAGAAGATATTAGGGAGAGAGAAACTATTCCTACTAATCTCAACGACACTTATGCGTTAGCGTCGCAATTGGAAATAGAAGAACAAGGGCCAGGTCATAGCAAGATGAGCGCGATGACTACAACGTGGGAAGGTAAAATCAACCCGTACGGCAGAACTAGGCCTTTCCACAAGAAACCCCCATTTGCTAAGAGGAAAATTGAGGAGATCACCTCGAATTTTTCTAAACCTAAGATGAAGGAAAGCCAGGGGAGCAGTTCAAAAAAGGTGCGTCGGTGACATGTTTTTAGTGCCAACGAAAGGGACACTATGCCAACTATTGAATGAAGAAGTGGCGATTGTAAGAATGAAGAAGTGGCCACTATGCCAACGATTGTAAGAATGAAGAAGTGGCGATTGTAAGAATGAAGAAGTGGCCACTATGCCAACGATTGCAAGAATGAAGAAGTGGCGATTGTAAGAATGAAGAAGTGGCCACTATGCCAACGATTGTAAGAATGAAGAAGTGGCGATTGTAAGAATGAAGAAGTGGCGAAAAAGATAACCACTATCTTAATGTTCCTTGACATAAGGTTGAGATGGATCAAAATTTTGACAACTCAAAACCGAGTACCCGAGTATTGGTGAAGAAAGAGAATTTAGATGTAGAATTAGTCCTCACCAATCCATATAAGAAACTTGTTTATTTAGACTCTAGAGTGGAGAATATTGAATGGGCCATGTTGATTGACACAAGCGCAACCAATTCGTTTATGAGCCCAAGATGCGCTGAGAGGTTAGCGTTGATTCAAGAATCGACCAAGGAGATAGAGACATTCTTTGTTAAGGGTGGAGAGTTATCTCGCTCAGTTGTAAAAGGCGTGAAGTTTCAAGTGAGAAATGAGAGGTTTTAAGAGGACTTCACAATCTACCACCTTAATGGAATAGATGTAGTCTTAGGTAACACGTTTCTAGAATGATATGGAGTAGAGCTCTGATGGAAACTAGAAATGCATTGTCGTATTACGTGAAGTCTTGCTTCAGAATGCTCTGGGCACTTGGTTGTAGAAGGAAGAATGGAAATTGCAACAACAAAATCGTGATTCTAATAGAATACTAATTAAACTCTAATTAGATCATAATAATGTTAAGCAAGCTTCAATCAAATTCAAAAAAACCTCAAGAAATTTCAAACAAACAATAAGAATTCTTAAAGAAATATTAGAAGGATCACAAATATCACTCAAATACATCTCAATTCAATCTTAATTTAATTCTAGTTAAAATCTTATTGAACTTCATTCAAACTTTAGCCAAACCTAACTAAATCTTAAATCCTAATAAAATCCTAAACCCTAAATCAAACCCTAAACAAACCTTAAACTAATCTCAACCAAATCCTAAACCAAACCCTAACCAAATCCTAAACCAAATCCTAAATCCTAAATCCTAAATCAAATCCTAACCAAATCCTAATCCAAATTCTAAATTCTAAACCAAATCCTAATCCAAACCCTAAATAAAACCCTAACCAAACCCTAAACCAAATCCTAAACCAAACCCTAAATCAAACCCTAAACAATTCTTAAACCAAATCCAAACTAAATCCTAAACCAAATCCTAACCAAACCCTAACCAAATCCTAATACAAATCCTAAATCCTAAACCAAATCCTAACCAAATCCTAAACCCTAAATCAAATCCTAACCAAACCCTAAATCCTAAATCAAACCCTAATCCAAATCCTAAACCCTAAACCAAATTCTAACCATATCCTAAACAAAATCCTAGTAATTCCTACAACAAATTCAAACCTCAATAACTAATGAATAAACCGTCGATCTTAACTCAAATTTTTCAAAAATCTTACAAATTAAGTTAAAAACAAGCACAAAAAAATTGAAAAGGATCGGACTTATCAAATTGATGATAACTTCACAAATGTGCTCGGGTATTGGCCGGCCTCCTTCTATAATCTTGATGTCAATCTTCCAGAGCCGATATCTCTCTTTTACACTGTTCGATTGATCTCAAAATTCTCATGCCTAGGGGAAAATAAGTCTAATATCCTCTTATGCAAGTTTCACTTCAATCCAAGTAGTAGATTGCAAGAAATCTTAAAAATCCTCACTACACCTAAAATTCTACTTTTTGAGACCTTGACCTACTTAAACATCAATATTCTTTAATTCAACCGTTAGATTGAGCTCAAATTCACAAAAAATATTGAAAACAACTATAACCATATACCTACAAAATTCCATCCATAGATCTACTACAAAACTCTCAAAATCGTCCAAAACGTAAACCCTATTTTATTTCATAAACTCCAAGTCATCCAAAATAAACCTTGACTTTGCAAAGCTCTTACAAAGTCATAACAAATCCAAATCACCCAAAATCAACACCTATAGAAACCTTATTCAATCTGCTATCAAAATCTACTCTCAAATCTGCCAAAGAATCCTGAAGTCGTCGTCGAGACTCGGTTTTGTGCCTTAGGGTCAGATTTCAACCCTGGTTCATAACCAGCCCTCTTCTGGTATCAACATCTAGTTTTTTTAAGTAATTTTTACTAGAATTTACTCTGAACTTTCTCCTAAAGATGTCTATATTATTTATTTTTCCAATCTACTTTATTTTACCTTATTTTTGGCCCTACAACGTAAGCAGAAGTTATTTATTTATTTATTTTTAAAATGGCAGCATTACTATTAAAAGTTTTAGTACCTTCCTATCTTTTATCCATATTTTTCTACCTTTTCTTTTAACATGGCTATTCTTTAATAAGATCCATATTATCATCTTTCAACATATAGTCATGTTACAACATGACAGCGTGTAGTGATGTTGGATGTACAAGGGAACATCATAGGACTACCTTTCACTAGCCGCCCAACATTGTATGAATCAAGAATTGGACTTGTTACTCAGAGTGAACTAGAGGGGGAACAGTTCTTCTTACACTTGAGAAGTGGCGACCTCGATTGCAATAATGTAAGTGAGAAAGTTGTTAATAAGTCAGAATGGAAAGGAACCATTCCGTTTGCTTCAAAACTAGTGCAAGAAGTGGTGTCGAATTTTGGTGATGTCTTGACAGCAGAATTACCAAAAGTGCTGCCACCAAATAGAGTGGTAGACCATCGCATTGAGCTAGTTCCAGGAGTACAACCTTCAAGCAAGGTGCCTTATTGATTGAACCAATTTGAGTTGAAGGAACTCAAGAAATAGCTGAACGAGTTGTTGGAAAAAAAGTATATCAAACCAAGTAAGTCCCCATTTGGAGCCCCAGTCTTGTTTGTGAGCAAAAAAGATGGAAAAATGAGGATGTCTATTGATTACCGAGTTCTAAAAAAAATCACTATGAAAAATAACTACCCATTACCACGAGTCGACGACTTGTTGGATAGACTAAGTAGAAGTAGATGTTTCAACAAGATTGATCTTAAGAGTAGATATTATTAGATAAGGATTGCATAAGAGGATGTGGAAAAGACAGCATGTAGGATAAGGTATCGTTCCTATGAGTTTGTGGTAATGCCCTTTGGTTTATGTAATGCACCAGTAACTTTTACTACCCTAATGAATTCGATTTTCCATGAAGAAAGTGATGAGTTTGTAGTTGTGTACATCGACGACATTTTGGTGTTTTCCATAAGTGAACAGGAACATCAAAGACACTTACGAACAGTGCTCACAAAGCTAATGGAAAACCAATTGTATGTAAATCAAGAAAAGAGTATCTTCTACTTGGAAGAATTGGAATTCTTTGGGCACACCATCGGTAAAGAAGGTATCAAGCCAGATTCAAGAAAGATTCAGACGATCCAGACTTGGAAAAAACCGAAAATGCAGAAGGGTGTATGATCCTTCATAGGACTAGCAAATTATTATCGAAAGTTTATCAGAGACTTCTCAAAAATCACTAGACCCTTGACAAATGTGTTGAAGGAAAACAAGTCTATTAAGTGGGACAATCATTGTGATGAATCCTTCAAAGAAATTAAAGAAGCATTGATTTCCAGTTGGGTGTTGTATTATTCGCAATTCGATAAAGATTTTGAAGTTCACACGAATGTGAGTGACTTTGTCTTTGGAGGAGTACTGATGTAAGAACAATGACCCATTGCGTTTGAGAGTAAGAAATTGAGTGGCAGCCAGTTGAGGTGGCCAATTCATGAGAAGGAGTTATTAACAGTGGTCTATTGTTTGAAAACTTGGAAATACTACCTGGGTGGTAGGACAACCAAGATATACACTAGCAATATTTCTCTCAAATATCTTACGTCGAAATTGCAAGAATTTCCAAAAGAATTAAGCTGGTATGATGTAATTGTTTCGACGGACGTCAAACTGATCAACAAACCAGGAAGAGACAACTTGGTGCCGGATGCACTAAGTAGGAGAGAAGTGTTCTTGGAAGTAAAGTTACAAAACACCATGATACTTAGTACCATTGTATATTGTGACAATTCTCCTCTTCTTAAAGGCATAAAGGAAGCCTATAAGGTAGACGAGGATGCACTTGTGATCAAGAAAGTGTTTTCTAGTACCAGAACGACCACGGAACAAAGAAGGCTTATGGGAGTCTCTTCAATCAACGATGGGTTGATCTGGTTTAAACAAATACGACTCTACATTTCAGTTGATAAGTAGATAAGGAAAGTTATGTACGAAGTTCATGTCGCCCCGTATTCGAGACACAGAGGCGTGAAAACCACCTTGAAGGTCATGACTCATTCATATTACTGGCCATCACTGAAGGAGGATGTTGAAGCATATGTAAAGAGTTGCTTGGTGTGCCAAATGAACAAACATTCAATATAAGTTAAGGCAGTGTTACTAGAACCTCTACCTATTCGTTCTATGTCTTATAGAGATATTTCGTTAGACTTTATAACAAGCTTATCGAGATGTGGAGAAGCCAACACTATTTTAGATATAGTGGACAGGTTCAACAAGACAACAAGATTCACAGTAATGACGATGTTTCCAAAGGACTCCAAAAAGGAG